AAAAAATTTAATATTTTAGGCAAAAAATATTTTTTTTCTTCTTTCTTTGATTATATAGAAAAACGTTATATGAACAGATTAAAGGAATTGTAATTTTTAATTTTTTTAAATTTGTTTGAGCAAAATCGGACTACCTACCTACCAGGTAGTTTTTCCCACCATACTAATTTTCAACAATTTGCATCCAATATTTATTGAAATATCTTAGTTCTTGTATTTTGCGATAATACCTTTATATGTGAAGTGGGCGTAGTTACAGTCCGATTTCGCCCATTTTTTCTTGTTTTTTTTTTTTGACTTAGCACATTTGCATACCACTGCATATGTATTTTGTATTTTGAGTTGTGCTATCTAACTGCTTTAAAATTTCAATTTTCATAAAAAGTTGACTTAGCGCGTTTGCGAACTAAGCCAACGATATTTATTCTTGTTATTGTGCCAATTGAATATTTGAAATTTCTAGAGCACTGCCAGGTAGCTAGTAGCCTCGCGAGGCTATGTATGCGTTTGTATTTTGCCTGGCACTGTTCTGGGCCATTAGAAGGACAATTTCTTATGCTTATATTTTTTCGGTTAGCAAAAGGTATGTACATATGTATACAGAAGCTCAAATACTAATTTATTCATATTTTATTTATTTTTTCGTGATCATCACCCATGTCCGCCTCTTCACTTTTGCGGTACTCCGCATAGTCCACATACCCATCATTATTCAAATCCATTCGTTTTAACACATAATCAATTATCTCAGACAAGTTTTCATCAGAATACACTTTGCCTGACTCTTCCGTGGCACCGTCATGTTGTTGTGGTAGTGGTTGCTCCGTCTTTTTGCCATGTGCATCTTGCACTAAGATATAAAAGAATAAATATTAATTTAATATACATATTTTGTATTTAACCAGTAAAGATTGAAACAATATCAATGATGGGTATTTTTTTACCTAAATAAGCACACCAAAAACCATACCCTGCTAACTGCATCTGTTGAAAAATATTGAAGCTTTTCATGTTGTTCTAACTACTGCACCAAGTAAACGAAAACAGTGAAATCTTAAAAATTAATGCTTGCGAATATATGTATTTTAAATAAGAAATTACTCCTTTTGTTTCGATTTTATTATTATTGATTTTCTTTGCGAAATTGTACCACAATCAGTCATATTTCGTTTGTATAACCCTAAAGATCTCTTTTTCTATCATTTTACGTCATTACTCAGATCTCGTTTAATCTTTATTTTCTTCGAAGTGTTGTAGAAAATTTAAATTAATTAACATTACATGTCGTTTTTATGAGCAAAGTTCTGAAATAGATATAAAGCAAATTAAATGAGACATATGTATGTATGTATAGAAGCTTTCAAGGGCTAGTAGAGAAGCCATATTCGAGTTGAAAAAGCTGCGAAATTAACATAATATTTGTTCGTATGTAAAGCTAAATCAAATCAATATAACTTGGAATGATTAAAATCAAAACGAAACACTGTTGGAAAAAAATTTGTGTGCATCCTATTAGTGAAGATGCTCTTCCAAAAAGTATCCATTGTTTTAACAAACTAAAAACAATTGACATTAATTTAAATCACATTTTTGCGGCCAATCACACTGATTTAAGTGATGCCGGAAATCCCATAAGCAAAGGTTTAAGAGTTTTTAGTAACACACTACTGTCCACTTTGAGGTTGCTGTTGTTGTTGTTTTTGTTGAGATGCCGCCACAGCCTTTTGTTGCGCCTTTATAAATTCAGGATAATCGATGTAACCATCGCGTGAAGTATCATCCATTTGTAGAATGGGATCAATTAATGCCACTAACTCTTCATCTGAGAAGATTTTCTCTTCTACATGTGGCGCCTGCTCATTATGTTGTTGCTCCTTACTTCCTTGCTCTGTTAGTAAAAATCATTTGATTCAAGCCACCGTATGCGTATTCGATGAACATTCGTTTGATTTAATGAGATGTCGTTATTTAATTTTTTTTAACCATACCAAGAAGAGTTAGCGATGAGCGGTAGCAATGTGGTTGATGAGAAACAAAATGATGCAATTTGATGCAAGTACGTTGTAACAAAGTCATGGATTCACATGTAAATAAAGGGCCAAAACACACATAGTTATACAAACGGTTTATTATATAAATGATGTATGTTTATGTAAAAATATTATTTTTTTATAAAATACATACATATGTACAAATGTATGTATATTTTATGTAGCAACAAAAGTTAAAAAAATTATAACATTTAGCTTTTCGGGAAAATACCATCATTGGCGAATTTGTTAGAAAATTTATGCGATAGGACAAGGGAGCATCACGGTTTATGAAATATTCAGACAATTGTGGGCCAAACGATGTACCGGGAAGGGGAAATCACCACCCTTTTGCGTGATGAGCGCCGAATTTTTCAATCTCAAGGAAAGCAGCAGAAAATAATATAATATACAGAGTTCTGATCGAGTCTTCAAATGTTTGTGGATTATTACCTCATCATAAGAAAACTCGNCATTATGTTGTTGCTCCTTACTTCCTTGCTCTGTTAGTAAAAATCATTTGATTCAAGCCACCGTATGCGTATTCGATGAACATTCGTTTGATTTAATGAGATGTCGTTATTTAATTTTTTTTAACCATACCAAGAAGAGTTAGCGATGAGCGGTAGCAATGTGGTTGATGAGAAACAAAATGATGCAATTTGATGCAAGTACGTTGTAACAAAGTCATGGATTCACATGTAAATAAAGGGCCAAAACACACATAGTTATACAAACGGTTTATTATATAAATGATGTATGTTTATGTAAAAATATTATTTTTTTATAAAATACATACATATGTACAAATGTATGTATATTTTATGTAGCAACAAAAGTTAAAAAAATTATAACATTTAGCTTTTCGGGAAAATACCATCATTGGCGAATTTGTTAGAAAATTTATGCGATAGGACAAGGGAGCATCACGGTTTATGAAATATTCAGACAATTGTGGGCCAAACGATGTACCGGGAAGGGGAAATCACCACCCTTTTGCGTGATGAGCGCCGAATTTTTCAATCTCAAGGAAAGCAGCAGAAAATAATATAATATACAGAGTTCTGATCGAGTCTTCAAATGTTTGTGGATTATTACCTCATCATAAGAAAACTCGGGTTCATTTCCTCAGAGACATACGCGTGGAGTGGAAGAAAATATGCATCTTTGCGGCTTGCATTTATCATAGCTGAACGTAAACATACCTACCAGGTAGTTTTTCCCACGATTAATATTTATATTTAGAAGATATTGATGGATTAGGCTTTTCTGAAAGAATTTACGAAAGAAATAACGATATTATTGAAAGTGAGATTTCATTGATGGAGGGGAGTATTAGCTAAGTGAGAGGGTACATTAAGAAACGATTGGTGTCATGGTGGCTTCACCAATGCCTAGATCTTGTCCGTGTGTTCGCGGAAATTCCATCTTACAAAAAGTATCTGTTAAAATGTTCTCTGCGGTNAACCATACCAAGAAGAGTTAGCGATGAGCGGTAGCAATGTGGTTGATGAGAAACAAAATGATGCAAGTACGTTGTAACAAAGTCATGGATTCACATGTAAATAAAGGGCCAAAACACACATAGTTATACAAACGGTTTATTATATAAATGATGTATGTTTATGTAAAAATATTATTTTTTTATAAAATACATACATATGTACAAATGTATGTATATTTTATGTAGCAACAAAAGTTAAAAAAATTATAACATTTAGCTTTTCGGGAAAATACCATCATTGGCGAATTTGTTAGAAAATTTATGCGATAGGACAAGGGAGCATCACGGTTTATGAAATATTCAGACAATTGTGGGCCAAACGATGTACCGGGAAGGGGAAATCACCACCCTTTTGCGTGATGAGCGCCGAATTTTTCAATCTCAAGGAAAGCAGCAGAAAATAATATAATATACAGAGTTCTGATCGAGTCTTCAAATGTTTGTGGATTATTACCTCATCATAAGAAAACTCGGGTTCATTTCCTCAGAGACATACGCGTGGAGTGGAAGAAAATATGCATCTTTGCGGCTTGCATTTATCATAGCTGAACGTAAACATACCTACCAGGTAGTTTTTCCCACGATTAATATTTATATTTAGAAGATATTGATGGATTAGGCTTTTCTGAAAGAATTTACGAAAGAAATAATGATATTATTGAAAGTGCGATTTTATTGATGGAGGGGAGTATTAGCTAAGTGAGAGGGTACATTAAGAAACGATTGGTGTCATGGTGGCTTCACCAATGCCTAGATCTTGTCCGTGTGTTCGCGGAAATTCCATCTTACAAAAAGTATCTGTTAAAATGTTCTCTGCGGTAGCAACCGACCAGAGCATCAAATTGTGCCACCTAACTTCGAACATTGCGTAGGTGGCGTTCGGGCAACAACAGAAAAGATGCCTGCGATGAATAAACAAGCGCAAAAATATTTAAAACCGGGCGTCAATTTGCCTTGTATACAGTTACACCTGTGTGCGATTTGGAAGCCTTTGAAGAGGCGAGAAAATTTTTGTTTTCGAATTTTTTAATCCTTCTGCGCTACGAGGTTTGATCTCAAAACATTTCTGACGGCTGTTTTGGTCCCTGTGAAGGAGAGAGTGCGTCAATGTCCTCCAATAACCTGTAATGACAGATGGTGACGAACGCCTTGTATAAGTACAGCGCTATCAGCTCTCTCGCAGGTGTGGGTGCGGTTAAACCAGCGAGTATTTATGGACCTGGGTGATCATGGCATTGAGTGCTGTGATTGTACTAAACATTTTACGGTGAAATACGAGAGTAGCATGACCCCGAGTGTCTTTGTTAGTTGGTGTCCGCGACTTAAGTAGTGGACCCACCATCCCTATCTTTCACAATCCAGGGTGGTGATTACACGATTTTGACGATGTTTCATAATTATTAGTGAAAACCAGTGCATGTACTTATGTTTATCGAGCCTTAGCTGCCAAAAATATGTACGTAAGAGAAAATTTTTTTTTAAATTTTTATTTTAGATACAAAAGTGCATCTAGCTACTCTGGGAATATTCCTGCACCAAAAGCTGTTATGCTTACGATTGCCGAAAAGGCAAAATGTACTGTAGATATTCATTCGTTGGTATTAACTAAATCCAATGCTAGTATGATGAAATAAAACGTAATCTCGAAACATACATACATACATAGTATACGTACAGTTGTCCACAAGTAATAGGAGTGCCGTTTGTTTACTTGCCGCTTATTATCTTTTTATAAGTGTAGTTGGTTATACAATAAACATCATATAATAGCCCTGTAAAATTAGACTTTTTCTTAAAAAAAAATTTGTAACAGCAATTTTTTGATGCAGTTTACTTCTTATTTGACACGTATGTGTATGTGCTATGTGTATCGCGTTCCCGGCCGTGATCTAAGCGTCGTACAAAAAAAAATGTTGGCACAAATGTTTTGGAAAATGAAATTCTCTACAACCTTGGAATTTCAATATGCTATGTATTTTCAACAGAAATTGTCAAAAATGGCGAAAACCGTGACGATGTAAAATTATTTCAGTTTTTGCCTAATTTTTTACAATAAAAATTGCTATTTTTAAAAAACCTTCTATATCGTAAATGTGGGAAATTAAATTCCCTACATATTTGTATAAAACCATTTTTTACGAAAAAAGCAAAATAAGCTTGCAAATTGGAAAAAACCCAAAAAAAACTTAAATCCAAGATGGCGAAATGTTGCCAAATGAAATTTAGGGGCAAGACTGTGGATCCATGATCTACGTGTCAAATAGAAGTAAACTGCATCAAAAAATCGCTGTTACAAATTTTTTTCAATTGTCCTACCCAATTTACTAATTTTACTGGGCTAGTAAACTTACATTTCAAACTTTGTACGAAACTTATAAAAACTCTGCAAATTTTCACGAAAATTTCAAACTTTTTAATCAGAATCTTTAGGAAAAATCTTGGTATGCGGTTTTGTAGCCCATTTATTTCTGATATAACAAAGTGCAAGTTTCAAGTTAGTAAAAAATCTCCTAGATTTTTCCATGCAAAGTACATATCGTACACCTATGTATGTAGATCTAAGGTGGGTTAACTCAAAATTCACAGAGGTAAATTTAACAGCTAGTAGATCGTACAAATTCAACGCAATTAGTACAAAAAAGGGTAAAACAGTAGTTTTTTAGTTAATGTATATCGTCGATGCTTTTGCGAAACCGCCCATCGACCAAATGCAAAACCGCCTAAATCGCTCTGAACTCCAGGCATCGAGATTTATGCATAAAAACCGTCCAATCGTTATTAAAACAACAGATTTGTAAAATAATAGCTGGAGAAAATACCGCCTATCAAGGCAATGCCTTCAAAGAATAAACCGCTTTTTCCCTCTCTTGTGAAATTTTAGTTCCGTAAGATAGGCGGTTTTGCAATTGGGCGATGGGCGGTTTTGTAAAAACATCGACGATATATTTATGTAATCATAAAGAAAAAAATATTTCCATTAGTTGGATGAATAGATTTATACAAAAAAAAAATCGCTCAAAATTTTTTTTTCTGAGCTGATCGCACTTAAGATCTTAGGTATGCAAAAAAAAAAATGCCAAAAATGGATGGGATTTTTCAGCAACTTGAAACNTGGTTTTGTAAAAACATCGACGATATATTTATGTAATCATAAAGAAAAAAATATTTCCATTAGTTGGATGAATAGATTTATACAAAAAAAAATCGCTCAAAATTTTTTTTTTGAGCTGATCGCACTTAAGATCTTAGGTATGCGATATGTTCGATGATTTTCTTTTATATGGTGAGGCTGCCGGCAAAAAAAAAAAATGCCAAAAATGGATGGGATTTTTCAGCAACTTGAAACTTGCACTTCATTAGACTAGAAATGAATGGGCTGCAAAACTGCATACCATGATTTTTCTAAATTCTGATTAACAAGTTTGAAATTTTGGTGAAAAATCGCACAATTTTTATAATTTTTGTACAAAGATGGAATTTGAATTTATTTGGTGTTTGTTGTATTCCTGCTAGATTTTTATCAAAAGGTAATAAACATTAAATAAACAAAAGAAAAATTGCGAAAATTTATTAAAATATCGCACTCCTATTATTTTGTGGACCACTGTATGTACATACGTGTGTGGTTGCAAGGACTCTACCGACACCATACCATACCAATTAAGCAAAAATAAATAAATATATTGGCAATTTAAAAATACATAAACTTACCATGCCAGTGGATAAGTGATTTTATTAACTCGCAGCCATCTAACTTATTGTTGTTATCAGAATCATGCATTTTAAAGTAGTGAAATTGGAGCTCAGCTTCCGACATTTTGTTCGTATCGATTGGAATCTGCATATGCTCCTGAATATGGCTATGATAATAAAAAGAACGAATATTAATATTTTATAATATTGTGCACGTGTACAATACGTGATATAAGCATACATATCGCTTCCTTAATACACAGAGGCCCTAACCAGTAATTTTTTTTTATTTTACAGGAGAAGCAAAAAACATACAAATCAAATCATGCATACGTACGATGACCATTCGTACCGATTTTGGCGGGACAGTACCCATTTTGAGAAAATCGTCCCGCTGAATAATTTTTTAAAAGTTGGGACGTATAACTGTCCGGATTTTTCATATTTGTACCGATTAAGTCCGATTTTCAGTGTTTTCTTTATTATTAATAGATTAACAATAGTCTCTCTCTTCTCTGGAGCAAAAACGATTTTTCTGACAAAAGTGGCAAAAGCGCGGCTGACTTCTTACACGTTCATATAAATTCGCCTTGGCGCTGCCTAAATATCATTGAAAAATATCAATCTTGGTAAATTCGGGGCCCACTTGAGGAAGCCTTAAACATTTGCATATGTAAACAACATTTTTGTCACTTAAAATGTTTATTAATCGACATCCAAAAAAGGAGGAGGTTATCAGTTCGTCGGAATATTTTTTTTATGTATGTTACCGCATAACTTTGGACCACGACATCCGATTTCGATAATACTTTTTGCATCGGAAAGGTAGTGTCTCAAAGGTACCATACTAATCAGGTTTAGATCCGATCATTGGATCATGAAATATATGTATACATATTTTTTTTTAAAGTCGGTTTTTTTTGCTATATATGACTTGTTTTTAAAAACAAATGTTTCAACACGCGTATCGTTTTGAAAAATAAACATTTTGAGCCACAAAAAGGTTGTTTGCTTTAACTGATTTTGTTCTGTTATCGTATCAAAATAAATATTTAATTAAATGATATATTTTTAAAGATGATGCAGCTATTAATATTATTTTTATGGCAGAATCGCACTCGGCGGTTTGCCATTGTCTGCCTAGGGGTGACCGCTGTAAGAAAACAATTTTCTATATTTAGATATTTCCCATGATATTTCCCAAGTTGTTGTTGTTGCTGTAGCGGCTACAACAACCCCGCCCAGTTCAGCTAGTCTCTCAGTCACCTAATCGTTGCCGTCAAACTCAACTAACAAGAAACCCAAGAAGCGTGCAACTNAAAGTCGGTTTTTTTTGCTATATATGACTTGTTTTTAAAAACAAATGTTTCAACACGCGTATCGTTTTGAAAAATAAACATTTTAAGCCACAAAAAGGTTGTTTGCTTTAACTGATTTTGTTCTGTTATCGTAGTTGCTTAGCACTCAAAATAAATATTTAATTAAATTATATATTTTTAAAGATGATGCAGCTATTAATATTATTTTTATGGCAGAATCGCACTCGGAGGTTTGCCATTGTCTGCCTAGGGGTGACCGCTGTAAGAAAAAAATTTTCTATATTTAGATATTTCCCATTATATTTCCCAAGTTGTTGTTGTTGCTGTAGCGGCTACAACAACCCGCCCAGTTCGGCTAGTCTCTCAGTCTCCCAATCGTTGCCGTCAAACTCAACTAACAAGAAACCCAAGAAGCGTGCAACTTCTATAGGGTCCATCCATAGGGACGTAGTCATCAGTTGAGTGGAGTTTAGTGGGCATGCGAAGAGATGTTTCGAGTCATAGTGTCTCTCCGCATGCCTGACACTCATTGGGCACATCTGAATCCAGACTTCTCAAGTACGTGTTCAACCTGCTGCAGTAGTCAGAGCGAAGTTGGGCTATTGTGGACCGAGTCTGCCGAAGCAGACAACCATGTCAGGTGGTTGTGTGACCAGAACCGGATTCACAGGTCTGGGGGGCTACTCTGTAAAGTGATGCAAAAGAGAAATGCGATGCGAAAAAGAAATGCGATGCGATAGGCAATCGCCACAGCGTATTACTTACGACGTATNCATTCACAGGTCTGGGGGGCTACTCTGTAATGTGATGCGAAAGAGAAATGCGATGCGAAAAAGAAATGCGATGCGATAGGCAATCGCCACAGCGTATTACTTACCACGTATTTGCCTATCGCATCGCATTTCTCTTTCGCATCGCATTACAGAGTAGCGCCCCTGGAGTCTAATGGAGTGGAGTGGTGGAAAGGGTAGCTGAGGATTTTGTAGGGGAGGGTTAGGCTCCTTAGATCGATGGTTTTGCATAAATCAGTTGATTGTTCATTGTGTTTTTGTACATATATTTCCCTCTCTGAATTTTGAGTTAGCTCACTTTAGATGTAGATGTGTAATATATTTGCTATTCAAAGGGAAGATGAGTACATTAGCAAGGAAGAAATATTTTTTCTTTCGAAGNGTCGATGGTTTTGCATAAATCAGTTCATTGTTCATTGTGTTTTTGTACATATATTTCCCTCTCTGAATTTTCAGTTAGCTCACTTTAGATGTAGATGTGTAATATATTTGCTATTCAAAAGGGAAGATGAGTACATTAGCAAGGAAGAAATATTTTTTCTTTCGAAGCCAATTGACAGATCGTTGGAATTTTTACACACCAACGTACATTTCTGCGTGTTTCTGCGTACTTAACTCGAAAATTTTCAAGATTATGACGTTCTTAGAGTAAACCACTGGCATGTAACTTTGTGTTTCATTTTGTAAAACGTATTTTCTAAAGATAAGGCATAATCACAGTTCTTATACAGAAGTGCTGATAACAATTAAAGAAGATATATCGATTTATACGCATGGGGACTTGTCAGCACTTTTATAGAACATGGCGCAATTATCATGTAGAGAAAAATGAATATCGTTACTTTGGTATAGGAATGCCCTATCATTTTTTTTAATACTGCTTTGTTGAAAATACGTAAGATTACCCGAGCTTAAAAGCAATCACTATAGCATTAGGGTACCTAGTTATAGTCCTTAGTAAAAAAGCCTTTTAAAGAAATTCGAAAACAAAGAACTGAGTTTTTTAATCACTCCACAAAGAAAAAAAATTTAGGTAGGGCCTTCCTATATTATGGTAACAACGAACCATATTGTTTTATACATAATTGTAATATTTAGGAGTGGTAATGGTTGCCACTTACGCTCTTTCATGTTCCATATTGGCTGCATTTAAAACTTGCTGCTGCCCATGGTGTGCCTGATGAGGCGCATGCGGTTGGTTTTGCTGCAGTGATGGTTGTGGAGGCTGCTGTTGAAATTGTGGTTGCTGTTGCTGTTGGATTGGTTGTTGTCCTTGTTGTTGATACTGTGGTTGCTGCTGCTGTTGTACAGGTACCTGCTGATATTGCACTTGCTGTTGTTGTGGTTGCTAAATTTTGTTTTAAACTCATTTAACATACAAACATACATACGCACATCTATGAGGAAAGTAAGAATTTTAATTGTACTCACATAGGTTTGAGGCGGAACATTGGGCGCATGGTGAACTTGCTGCTGTTGGTATTGGGGTTGAGAATTATGCTGCACTGGAACTTGTTGCTAAATATTTTTCCAAAAAGCGTTAAAAAAAAACTTGGAATACATTCATGTCACTTACGTAGTGTTGCGGAGGAACCCCTGGTGCCACACGTTGAGCAGTCGTAACTCCAAATAACATGAGCGAAAACAGCATCAGCGAAAAAGCTGCCAACTGTTTTTGTTGGAACGAGCATCTTGTTTGTGAACGCATTTTGGCAAACCTACGTGAAGTAGGCAGGGAAGCACGCCAGTATATTAAACCAATTTGTTCTGTTATCTTCTCACAGACCAATGCAGTGTTCATTCAATACAAAGTGCCAGACACTTGCAGTTGGGTAGGATTTGAGCAACCACGTCAAAAAACGAGATCAGAGAAATCCACACGTATACAACTTCGAAATGTCAATGGGATCGTTCAATGAATTCACAATGACATATTTTAGGGATGCACAACAAATTAGGAATTGCAAGTCGAAACTAAAGTATCGATATGGTACACTACATTATGTACAGTGTTATCGAAATAAAAAGCCTCGATACCAACTATGTACATATACAAAATTTGTATTCCAATTTCTACTTAGGTATAGAAAAACAATGAACTCTGGATAAAAGCTAATATTTTATACAACCAAAAACCTTTTTGTATATAACTGTGGTAAAAAAGTGAGAACAGGTGATGATTTAGTGAATTTTTGTTGAGGTAACTGCCCATACAAAACAACGAAATTTAACAAAAATTTT